GTCTGTTTTTCTTTAAAATATTAGCTCTGGATTTACATTGAGCTCTCAGGATTTCATCCTCCTTGGGACTACCCATACGGATTACCAAGTTTTTCATAACTTATATATATATATATATATATATATATATATATATATATATATATATGAGGTGGGCACTGAGATGAACACCGATCGGCGACAGTCCGTTTCATCTTTTACAGACACTCTATCTCTGATACTTTCCCATAAATATAGCATACAGTAAAATTATATTTTTACAATATATGTACACACATAAATGTATATATATGTAGATACACACACACACACATATATATTTGTGTGTGTGCGTGCATGCCTATATGACTGTATATATATATATATATATATATATATATATATATATGTATATATATGCGTGTGTGTGCGTAACAGAATGTACATAAACAACTTTTGTTTCTTAGTAGTTCTAATAGAATAGGATTGCGTTTACATGTTTTGTCAGCTTCAATATTACCAAATCCTGCTGAGAATGAAAAGCCTGCGACAGCGTGAAATGGGGAGAAAAATAGAAAGATTTAGCTTTGACCCGTAGCCAGACGAAGTGCCCATAAAAAAAAAACAACAACAACATAAAACAAATAAAACATTATAAAAATGAAGGCGCCACAGCGTTAATATTTGAACCGCTTGACTTGTCGACTTTTCATAAATACGCCGAAGCAGATGCCATCATGGCCACTTCGGATGTTGACGCCTACCAAAGATTCTCGATTGTCATTTCCAACAGAGTGGGTCTGATTCTCTCGTAGTGCCCAGCTATTTTACTTTGGTCGTATACTGAGCCTCTTTTTTTTTCATCTGTGTTCCTATAGCAATTAATGTTGCAATGGACCATACTTATAAACACGCGCCAACCACAAGATCGCTTATTCCTAAATTTTCGCTTGAGAATGAAACGGGAGCCAACAACTTGATTCAACTTAATTTTAACAATTATATTGATGGTTTCGGCTCTCGTTTTTGAAACATGAGAACTCTTATGTAGCGAAGGAATCATATTTTAAAAAAAATATTTATATATATATATATATATATATATATATATATGTGTGTGTGTGTATGTGTGTAAATATTTATCTTTTATTTATTTATAATCCACTATTATGATATAAAGTTTTTAACAGTAGTCGAAATTCAAAACTAGTACTACGGCTTTAAATTCAGTTTGTGTTATCTTCTTCTATTTGCCATGTCTCTTCAGGACGTAGGCGATCATGGCTCTCCACATATCCCTCCACATTGTAGCTTTTAATAAAGTTTTTAACTTTGTTATCTTTCCTAAACCTTGTTCCGCCATCTATTTACTCAAGATCTCAAAATAGGTTATGAATTGTTTCCCTCTGTCCCTCTTACCTTCAATCTGTCCTGTGAGTATCAAATTTTCCAAGCCCTCTTTTCTCATTATGCACCCTAGAAATTTCAACTCTCTCTTCCTGATGTTAAGTATAAGTATCCATTTTATTTTAATTGTCTCTAAAACGTCGTCGTTGCTCGCATGGTCGGTCTATGGTATCCCAAGCATTCTTCTGTAGAACTACATTTTGTTGTTTCAAGTCACTTCTTTATCTTTGAGGAGATAGTCCAGACTTCAGTGCAATATAAGAGGAGTGATATTATGTTACAGTTCAGTACTCTTTGTTTCTAACGAAATTTTCATATTTCTTGATATTTTGCTTAGCTTTTGGAAGACATCTTTCACTGTTTTAATGCACCTTCGGATTTCAGTGTCGTTTTTTTCGTCCTCTCTTATGCATTTTCTCACCGGACTTATTTGGGTTAACAGCATTGGTTCAAATATTCTTATGAAAGCAAGTCCTTGATGATCAGTTACATATCTTCACGTGATTTCGCACCAAGATGAGGAAAACTAATTTCAGACTTAAATGAAAAAAAAAAAAAAATACCATGGTTACTATGACGACAAAGTTGATTTCCAAAAAAACAAAACCCAAAAACTGGCACATTCTGTTTGTTAAGTAAAATAAAACAAAAATTAACAGGCATGTTTATCGGAATAGCTTTTATTTAAGACGTGTCAGTGAACCCAATTTTTGCAAATTATTCATCTTTGAAAATCGCATAATAGGCAGCTCCTTCTTTCTCCCCTTCTTTTCATTCTTTCTCACTTCATTCCAGAATTTCAAATTGCTGACGGACGCACTAGATCTGAATAAATGACGAAATCGACGCTTGGCCATAAAAAACAAAAAAAAAACAGTGTGTCCTCGTCCGTGTTTTAAAGTGCACCAACTTAAGGGGTCACTGCACGATTTGGAATCTATTGTATATTCTGAAATGTTAAGGAACATTTTTTGTTAGCATTCTTTTTAAATTTGCTATTCTATTTATTTTGCCCATATATATATATATATATATATATATATATATATATATATATATATATATATATATATATATATATATGAGAGAGGGTGCTCTGTCACATTAAGAAGCTCTACAAAATATAATTTCTGATATTGAGTTAGATTTTGGTAAATTAGTTAGGCTGAGTTTTATTATAGCATCCACACACACACACACACACACACACATACACATATATATGTCTGTGCGTGCGTATGTGTGTGTGTTTATATACTTAAGAAAAAAATAACATTTATATATATATATATTTAATACTTCAGCTTGTAGTAAAGGATTCAACTTATATTTATTCATTTTCTTTATATATATATATATATATATAGAGAGAGAGAGAGAGAGAGATGTAGAAATGATCTAAATAAACAGGTAGGTATGACCGATTACGTACACATACAGGTGAGCAAATAACTATTTATTTAATCAGTAGTGTAGAAAAAACTGTGCTCAATGTAGTAAAACAGAGCTATAAAGTATATATTAATAATTACACATATATCTACGTTCACATTACGATGTTTCATGGCTTTCCCAATCATCAGGTACAAAAAGTTACGAACTGTTCAATGCGGTTGTATTTTTTTGAATAAACTGTAATGAGCAGTTCGTAACTTTTTGTACCTGATGACTGAAAAAGCCATGAAATTCTGAGTCATACTGTAAACGTAGGTATATATGTAAATATATATATATATATATATATATATATATATATATATAGTGAATATTGAAGTCAACACTGAGAGGCGACAGACTATTTCAACCTAAACTCAATCATCAGGCCACTATTGGTCTGATGATTGCTTTTAGCATGAAACAGTCTGTCGCCTCTGAATGTTGACTTCAATGTTCACTTTTATATTTACATACGCTCTATCTCTGATATTGAGTAGTTTGTTCCATATTAAAATATACCTTAAAACTATATTTCTTCATATATACGATGCGATGAGAACGAAAGTAATATATAAATTTCAAGGTTCACAGCATTAATCCAAAAGAGAGCTCGATACCAATGGTAGAGCGATAATTATTTGAAATGCACTGAAACCAAGTTGCATCTTTGTAGTGAGCAAAATGGTTTTGTCTATATGATAAAATTATAATAAATAAATAATTTCTTCATATATATATATATAATTTTTGTTTCATATTTGAAAAACATTTTTGGGTCTGTCTATATTTCTGAGATGAGGTATTATGTACATTATTTACATTGTTCGGGCTATTGTCCTTATCTTTGTCGCCATATTTATTACAACGTTTCGGCCGTTGTACACTCCGGCCTTCTTCAGGTGGTTGGAATGTCGGACTGAACCCTTTATTTATGTGCCATGTCTAATGGATGTGGATTATCTCCTGTTAATTTTCCCTCTGAAAGTTCTGCACTGCCTTAACCGGGTATTGAATTCACGCTCTTTGGGTCCAGTCACTGGATCTAACCAACGTCTTTATCCACTGTTCCATGTGTCCTTGAGGACATCTGGGTATGAATTTCTTGGTATTATAAACCTAATGTCTTCAGCAACCATTTTTACCAGTGCTCATATTGCAATTTTTCTGTTATCATTTCATGTTTTTACCAGAGCTCATATTGCAACTTTGTTGTTATCATTGCTTTTCTCTGGCACTCCAGAGTTTCCCATATTGTATTTATTTCTATGCTTGGTCGGCTCAGGAGATTTTTGTGGCCTAGCATATGTGCTGATTCCTTAAGTTTACGAATTTTCCAATAGTGTTCCCTGTCTAGGATCTCAACCTGATCCCACAGAGGGCGGTGATCTCCCTACTCTCTCCATATGTGGTCAGCCACGCCTGATTTTTCTACCTCCCCTCGTGTTACAGCTTTCTCGTGTTCTTGAAGCCTTATTTTGTTTTTGCTGAAACAACAGAATGTCGGAACAAATATAATTTACTCGTATTTCTACCCGAACTGATACGATATTAGAAACGACGAGTATCTTACGGCTAATGTCCGAAGTGACACTCTCCCTTGTTGTCAGTTAGTCATTAATGAGTAGGCGCTGAGTGCATTTGTATGTGATGTGATCGCCGTAGTAGTCATAATGACCAAATGATTAGATTTTATGCGTCTAAATCTAGCCCAACCCAAATGTTTTGTCCTCCCCCCCCTGCTGTCCAGATCTCGGTTCGTGTCTCCTATAAGATGACTCTGATGATCAGCAACGGAATTACACGTTCTGTCGCAAATATGCTAAATGAACTTGACTTCTTCATCGTGATTAAATTAATTTATGGAATGTCCTTATTTGCACCAACATGTGTCTTTTCAATCCAAATTTTTTTAATAATTTACACAAGTGATATCTTCTGGATGTTGACAACTTTTGCCTGCTAATACACACACACACACACACACACACACACATATATATATATATATATATATATATATATATATATTTATGTATGTATGTATGTATGTATGTATGGGAATATAAACACGTTCAGTGATAAGTGTAATTTAAATTGCATATGAAAATTTAATACTCGTGAACTGTGAATTGTCATAATTGCTGAAGAAGCCTTGGAGAACCATCATCGCCCACGACCTAAATGGTCATGGAAGAGAGAGAGAGATAAAGCAAAGAGTGCGAGAGAGCGAGAGCAAAGAGAGCGAGCAAAAAGAGAGAATGAGTAAAGAGGGAGAGCAAAGAGAGCAAAGAGAGAGAAAGAGAAGAGAGAGAGAGAGCACAAAGAGAGAGTGAGAGAGCAAAGCGTGAGAGAGAGCGAGAACAAAGAAAAAGAGAGTAAAGAACAGAGAAAGAGCAAAAAGGGAGAGTAGAGAGAAAGAGTAAAGATGGAGAAAGAGCAGTCAGGGAAGAAAGAAGGAGAGCAGAGAGAGCAAACAGTGAGAGGACAAGGAGGGAGAGCAGAGAGATAGGAGGAGCAAAGAGAGAAAGTAAGAGCAGAGAGAGAGAGAGTGAAAGAGCAGAAAGGAGGAGGACAAAAATGGAGAGCAGAAAGAGGTCAAGAGAGAGAGAGGGAGGGAGAGAGAGAGAGAGAGAGAGAGAGAGAGAGAGAGAGAGAGAGAGAGCGAGCAGAGAAATAGAGTCCAATGTCAGGAAATGTATTTGCCAGTACATTAATATACAGTGCTTTGCATCAGTATTCACTGCCCTTGAACTTTTACAGTTTTGTCCCGTTAGGACCCTAAATTTAAATGTATTTTATTGGGGTTGTATGTAATGGACCAACACCAAAATATTTCATCATTTTGAAGTGGAAAAATACATTACGTGGTTTTCAAAATTATTTACAAATAAAACTCTGAAAGCTAGTGAGTGCATATGTATTCACCCCACTTTTATTTGAAACCCCTAAATTAAACTCACCCAACTTAGTAATCAGTACTAAGATTTTCCTCGCGATTAAGATTTAAGATCTCATATCTAAGATTTACCACCATTTTTAGGACATATAGTTCTGCAGAGATATGCAGAGTCAGTGTCTTTTCCAAGGGCAATATTATTATTTACTGAGTATAAGCATCCTCAATTGAAATTCAAACTGGTAAGTGTTACGATATCTAGTCGCTTTGTCATCTAAAGGCTTAAATAAAAGGCTACTTATATCTATATAAGCAGGTGCGGAGATATAGAAATGTAAGTGTTGTTGTCTAGGTATGTGGTAATCCCACTGGGAGTGTTGAGCCTTTTAACCTTCGTTCAACTAGGAGAAGGAAAACTGATGAAACACCTGAAGATTGACAGCATCAAATGATGTTGCCTGGTTTTCTTTTTAGGTATAAGATGTTTTTGCTTAGAGTATGACATTGAGTCAGTGCAGCGTCTTCCTCCATTTTAAAAATTTCATGTACTTGGTATCATAAGGAATTTTTTTACATTGTTGTAGAGGGGAATTAGCAGGAGATAACTGACAATTGACATTCATTAAAACATGGCACGTGAAACTAGAACAGTCTATCCCAGTGAGCGAAATAAAGGGTTCAGCCGAAACGTTGTAATAAATATGGCAACAAAGATGACGACAATAGTCCGAATAATGTAAACACTGTACATAATACCTCATCTCAGAAATACAGGCAGTTACTACAATTGTTTTCTAAAGTTTTTGCTGAGATTTGAACAAGTCTTTTCTGGGATTTTTTTTCCATTCTTCAATGGTTACACGTTCTAATTCCTGGAGTTTTTTTTTTGGTGACCGACGATTTTTTCGAACTTTCAATTCTTGCCATAGATTTTCAATAGAATTCAAGTCAGGACTAATTGAAGGCTATGACAGAACTGTAATCTTTTTCTGAAGTCACTCAGTCACTGATTTAGACGTATGTTTGGGATCTTCAGAGCGAACTGGCTCATTATTATATGGATTATATATATATATATATATATATATATATATATACTCTGTCTGGTGTTATTAAGCAAATCATATAAACTTCAATAATTCAAAATTGGAATGAAAAAAATTGTCAAATTTTAAACAATCAATTAAGATGTCAAAACAAAGCCTGAGTTAAAATTTTAGGTAGCATCAATATGCTTTTATTAAAGTTACTGAAGTTATTTGATGTATTCTAAAAAAAAAAAACTGCCGTTTGAAGTTAGTAGGAAAAACAAATAATCACATTTTACTTCAATAAAAAGGTAATAAAATCATCAAAAATTGATTAACGCATATAACAGAGCAAATAACGAACACATATGATAAGTCCTTGAATCCTTTACAATTTAATATAGTGATCCTTCTCAATAACAGCCAGTCATCTATTATTCATTGATTTTGTTATTTAGGCAGGTTCAATTTCCGACATGGTAGTTTTAATTGCTTCCCAAAGTCCTACTTTGTTGTTATATTGTTTGCCACCTTCATATAATTTCCTTTTCACAATTGGCCATAGATTTTCGATCGGATTCAGATCAGGACTTGATGATAGTCATTCCATTATCTTCTCTCCTGTAAATCTTTTATGCTCTAGGAATTTACGGGTAAGCTTTGATACACGAGAAGGAGCATTGTCGTGCATAAATACACAGTTCACTTTGAAACTGCGATACTGGGAATTGTACCATATAAAGAAAATCTATGTTCGCAAAATCGTATTAGTTAGCACTGTTCAGTTTATCTCCTTCATCGACTTTGAATGGTCCAATAATGGTTTGGTCGACAATTCCAGCCCATATAACAAACCTACCACCTCCTTATTGACTTCTTTTAGCCACAGGCACGTCTGAATTAGATAAATCCATCCTTTGCGCCCATCCATCAGGTCCATCAAATGTCACTCGAGATTCGTCCATGAAAATTACTTTAAAAAAGCTAATTTTCATGTATTTCTTGGCCCAATTTTGACGCTTCAGAATATTTGCTTTAGTGAGAATAGGTTGGCTAGGGGATTTTTTTTTTACAGATCCTAATTCACAAAGCATCCTAAACCTTTTGTCCTTCTTGACGCCCTCAATTTTAGCCTTTTTTTTCCAGATCTAGTTAAAAGTGATTGTTTCGCTATAACTCGCTTTAACCTACGTTCATCTCGAGGACACAAGTTCTTAAAGCCTTTTTTTTGCTCCTAGTTCTCAACTTATATTTTCAAAAGCCTTCTTTATCGTTCAATGATCTCTG